TTATTTGGAGCATTTTACATAGATGAGAAACAGAAAGGTGAGTGTGTTTATGTTGACTGTTTTCCTGAATGGAACTATAAACCCAACATCTATATTTAAAAGACAAATAATAAGATGCTCTCAACTCATATATAAAATGTCAAGATATGAAAGATTTCAGGCTGCCATGACACAGAAGCTCAACAAAACTTCTTTCTGGCTTTCTTTCTTTTTTGCCTTAGTTATTTCTTTTTTACAGCTTTATTTAAGTATAATTGACAAATATATTTTTTTAAATGTGTCTACCCTCCATCATGTGGCATGGTTACCTAAACTTGAGGACTTATTTCTCTAAAAATATTTCCCAATTTGATAATTTTTTTAATCAATAAAATTTTCTGGGTTTTATTTGCTTGACTCTGACAAGTTTGCTTTTGGAATGTCAGGAAACTTTGGTAATTAAGTTTCTTCCCATTTTTTGCCATCCCCCAGCTTTGCAATACCCAGAATCTACTGAAATCTCAGACCCCCTTGAAATCACAATTAGGTCTCCATTTCTTATGTGCCTGTAACTTCATTGTACCTTCAATAATCTCTAATTTGGCGTTATGTTTTCTTGGTTTGAGGCTTTACTGTGGAGTTTGTTTTGTTGAGTGGTGTTTCTTGAGACTGGCTACAGCAAAGAAGTCAACTCTGGATACTGCTCAAGTTTCTATTGATCAGCGAAATTGGTGAGAGGGATCAATATTTAGCAATTTCTTTTTCTTTCCAAAATATTGAAGGAAAAAAAGACATGTGATCAGTTATTTACTATTCCAGCTGGTACATAGCAGTTAAAAGCTTAACCCACAGTCACTTAATCTTTCTGTGCTTTAATGAAGCTCCTGCTCTGGCTTCAGCATCAGGTCAATTTGACTGATTGCCATGGGACTTGCCATAGTTATCTACTACTCCTTACTTGCTTAATTCCAGAAACTGGAAAATGACTTTGGAAGGCAGCTTTAGGAGGAAGACTATCGTCCTGTATAGTCTAACCACCACCCCACCATACCCCGCCACCTTCTTTAAGAAACAGGAGATAGGGCTGGTGGCAGATGCACTGCAATTCTAAAAAGGGCTGCAGCAGATATTCCGACATTCATAAAATATGCATAAAGCACTCATTATATGTTAGGTATTTATTTAAACGATATGAAATTGGTTTTGTGGGCTAAAAACAGTTAAATATCAGCAATTCCATATGGTTGAATCTAAATAAAGCTGGCTTAGCTCTGAGGATACATCAGAGAGGTGGGCAGATGTTGTCCTTGCCCTTATGGCAGGGAAAATAGGCATCAAACGTCATTGTGTTATACATACATTATTCAACTATGTCACAGGCTTTGCCTGGAGAGCAGGGAACAGAAGAACTTTCAATCGAGGGTTGTTTGGAGACAGCTTCTCTGCAGAAGTGACCTGGGGCTCCATTCTGAACAATGGGCATGTGACTGAGCAGAGGTGGAAGACTGGGGATATTTCAGGCTGAGGGGACCACCCCAGAAGGGCCTGGTGGGGTGCAGGAGGATGCATCAGGGCACCGCATAGGTCCCTGAGAGGCAGTAGCCCTCAAGTAGAACTCCCAATGAAACATTATAGAATTCTGAATATTTTATAATGGCATTTGTCTCTAGGAGCAAGAAAAATGCTATGGTTGATGGAAAGACCAAATAGAATTAGATACGACTTCAATAACTTTGTGTGGCACTAAAATGTCTTACAGAATTAATTCAGAGTTTACAAAATGGAGGTTCAGGTTCCACCTGATTTAGAAAATTTTACCATTCGGAGATTAAATGGTAGTGATTATCCAGGTGTAATGAACAGAACAGGAGGAAGCTAAAAATCAATCTTTCTATCAAGATTCACTGGGCTGCTTTCAAGCTTTTGTTTTTCATCAAATGTATGTTTGAAGTTATTTTTCCCCCAGATGAATTAATTCACCATTTCCTGGTTTTAAATATTTCCTTTCCTGCTCAGCTTTCTGATCTGTGAAATTGTTTTTATTCCTTGTCTGCCATTACCAAGGATGTTCACCTAAACTGGGGCCCTCTGACAGAAATTTACAGATACCTCCTCCAAAATTCAGGTTCATCTGGGGGGCCAGAAGCTTTTTTTCTATAGGAAATCCACATAGCAAAGTGGTTAAAAATAAAAAACTAACAAACAAGCAAAAAAAAAACTGGGCTTTGGAATCAGCAGCCTTGGCTCTGATTCTCACTACTATGTACTGTGACTTTGTACAAGACACTTGATCTCTTTAAGCCACAATTTTTTTTAATTTAAAAAGGAAGATAATAAAAAATATCTACATAATAGAGTTTCTATGAGCAATAAATGTTATACTGCATATATTCACTTAACTAAAAGTCTGGTGTGTATTGTGCTTAATAAACAGCAATCATTATTTTGTTAGATATTACATGCAACCCTTCATGATTTTTCTGAATAACACAACAAACATTACCTTTATTGAACTTATTCTCTTGGGCACTGCTCTGGAAATGTTACATGTATCATCTCATTATTTTAAACCCCTTCAAAGTTGATCTTCTCTTTATCAGTTTTGCATATGAGATAGGATAGTACAGTTTTTAAGAGTGCAGTTTTCAGAGCCAGAGAGACCTGAGTTCCACTGCTGATTCTAGCGTTTACTAGTAATGAGCCCCTGGGCCACTTGTTTAGTCTCTCCAGTCTTAGTTCTCTCATCTGAAAAAAGATCCGAGGTGTAAGTCCAAAGTCCGTGTTCTTTCCAGGATATAAGTTGAGTAAGAAACCTTAACCCCTGTCATACCAAATACTGAGAAGCTTGTCTACTTGCCCTTACTCTTGGATACAAGCTGACTAATAGGTTGTGGTCATCCAGCTGCTTTATCCACTGGATTTATCAGCTATCTTTTTCCCCCTAAGGGTGGTTACTTATACCTTACAAAGTCATCTATCTGCACTCCAGGCCTTGGCAATCAGAAGTTGGATAAGGGACAAGCTGTGGAGATAAAATGAGACCAAGAATTGGCTGTCCTCACACAAAATCCAGCATTTTAATAATAGTGATATGAACATGCTAAAAAAAAGAAAGGGCTTTTATGCTTATTAGGAGATACATTATCTTCCAAACAGGGCTTTTGTGCACATTAGTGTTTTTAATGCATTAATTAAAATAAAGGTAGGTCAATATTGAACACATTATTATTACTATTTATTTCAAATATCTATATCTTCAGGCAGATTATATGGTCAACAGCAAGGTGCTTTAAAATGTGAACTTGAGGTTAAACACCATTTTCACTAATAAAATTAAAAGGAAGAGTTTGTAATAAATAAGCCCAATCATCCATAGAAGGAATTACCTGCCCTAAGTGATCACATGTGGTCACCGGAAGATGTTGCTTATTATTTAAGAACGTTTATAGTTCATTGTACTTAGTTTGAAGAATAGTGTAGTATTAGGAGGTGAAGCATTAGACTTATTTGGGTATTATCCATCCTGCTAGATGGGTTCATGTATCTTTTTTCATTGAATTTCCACAACAATTTGGGAAGAGTTCTACTTCACAGGTGAGAAAACACAAGTGCAAAGAGGCCAGGAAATTTGTCCATGAGCACAGTGATGAAATTTGAGTCGAAGTCTGACTCCAGATACCATAACCTTTCAACAGAAAACTAAGAATTCAAATGTCTCCAATGCTGTCTGTAGAAAAGGACGTTCTCAGTGGCAGATCCTGGCTTCCTTAGAAGGTAATTCTCTGTAGCAAAAGTGGAGTTCTCAAGTCATCATTGCCTGGGGGGTGCCAGCCAGGGGCATCATCAGCTGCTCAGGTTCCTTGAGCACCAACCAAACTTCAGCTTTCATGTCAGTGCCCACGTGTCTTCTCCAGCAGGGAATATGCCAGCCCCCTCAGAACTTCTGTGTTCATGGTTAATTAGCAAACATTCCAATTTACCCAGCACCTTCTTGCTAGCTTGACCACCATGAGTCATTCTCCTGACTCTGTGGGTTCCCAAGGAAAATGGAGTGTCTGGGCCTATGAGAGCTTCTCTGTGGCATCTCAGTCACATCAGCCTGTGGCAGCTTTCAATTCTGGTGACAGAGCAATTACAACTTCACATTTGTCTATGTGTGTCTCTGTAAGACATGTCTAGTTAATCAGTATAAAGTCAGATCCTCCCAACATTTGGGCGGCACTTATATACTCATAGCCCCATAAAGAATTCAACCAATATTTAACAAGTATCTATGGCCCAGACACTATACGAAGCACTATGGATTATTTAGACTCTAATTGAAAGATGAATTAGAGTCCATCCCAGCTCTTACGGAAACCACAGTTTAGTATAGAAGCTCACAACTTGTCATCACAAGATCAAAACTAATCTGAAGAAAGCAGGGAGGTCAGTTTTGCTTAGAACAGAACATAGGGACATCTGGCTCAACAGCCCTAACATAACTGAAAGCCACCACAAGGAGCAAATGTAAAACCCTGTGCCAAGTGAAGGGAGAGGCCACCATATTACTGTCAGGCAGAGGCAGAAGGCTGGATTCCCTATTCAGTCTCTGTTGATACCCCAAAGCAGGAGGGACCCCTCATTATTGCTGGAGGGAGGGGGGAGGTTCTGCTGCCCCCTCTGGGCCATGACTGATACCACCCTGCCACCACGATGCTCCTCAGGCCCTGAGGTCACTAGCTATCTGCTTTCTTCCACCTTCCAGAGGCTTCTTCTGCTTGTTTTATATATATTATGTCCAGGGTTTTTCATTGACTTAGCAGGAAGAATACAGAAAAGTACTTCTACTCCATCTTCCAGAAACCACATGTCAATCCAAGGCCAGCTTGCCCCCTGGGGATCCACTTGGCCAGGGCTGAAGGTGGGGTCAAGCTTATGTCTCGTCTGTCATGAAGCTGATCCCGTGGGTTTCTTCCCCCTACCCCTCTCTTGGCCTCACTCTCACAGCAGAACCATATGCCATGACAACTATCCAGTTCCTGGAAAGGTGGACAGGCTGGGAATTGGAGAAGAAAACAGTCATTCATCTCCGGATTTAATTTTGCTCTCTCCAACTACCAGAATAATAAGCCATATGCTGTACTATATTCCTGGCTAATAACCAGCAAGGAGGAAATGAGCACATTTATGAATTATGCTGTTGATGTTCTTCAATTTGCAAATCCAAGTGTTATTTTAAGTACTACCTCTGCCAAAATAATCATTTCCCACCAGTGATGTTTCATTTTGAATACAACCTTAGAAATTGTCTCCTTTATATTATGCATTCATCTTTACATTTTTAATCTACTTTTAACCTACAAAGTTTAATGTTTCAATGACTGCCTATGTACAAGAATCAATGCAGCATCAGCTAGGTAGAAAATGCACTTGTTTGCCTGTGTGCAGTGAAAACAGAAAAGCAGTTATTACCAAGGTCTACTTTGACGGTCAATGTCTTTTTAAATATATCAGATAATAGTGGTGGCATAAAATTAAAGCAAATGCATTTGTATTATTGAAAAACTGCTTTTCAAGTAGAGGTCAATGCTAAACCCTCACAAATACACAATAAAATAACAAAACATTCTCATAAATGAAAAAAATTAAAAATCAGAAGCTAAACAGAAAACTTTGATTTACTCTTTATTCTTCAGTGTCTTTAGATTTCAACTCTTCCACATAACCATTGATAACTATACAGTCTGGTTCCCTTTCCATAAGCTTCTGAATTATACCATCTTTGTTATCATGGGTTGTTAGTTAATGCACAAACCTTGAGAATCTACCTATTGCTCAAGAAACACTCAAACCTTTTTCCTGCCTTTCCATACAACTGAGAAATATCCACGAGTTCAAAGTGGGAGTGATAATTAGCTGCGTACATGGACTACAGCCCAACAGACACAATGGACCACAACAACACGCCACTGAGGATAGACAGATGCCAGCAAAGGGAGACACACGCAGACCACTATCAGGACGTCTTGAAGTCTCTACAAGAGCAATAGGTCTAACTTGGCATCTTGAAGCTGTAAGTAGAAAACCTAAAAATGAAATGTTCCCACCTTTTCACTAAATGTAGCAAATTAACAAAAAAATCTATAATGACTTCTGTTCTGCTTTCAGATTAAATTCCAATACCTTTTCAAATTGTTTGTTGCCTTTTCTAATATCACTCACTACCTGATCCACATAAAGCCTCGTATGGAGACAAGCCAACCTATGGACTTTCTGTCCCTTCAACATGCCATTTGCATGCTCATCTTCACACGTTCACATTGTTGCATTTGTCTATTGGCAAGTATGCATGAGGCATCTGCTATCTGTCAGGCACCGTGCTAAGGGAGAGGATGAAGGCGGATAAAACAGGACCTGGAAGCCGCATGCCTTTGTTCGCTCTCCTTTATTCTGATACAGTTTGTAGAAACCTCCTCCCTGCCCAACCCACACCCTTCTCCAGAAGTTCTATTTCTTCCATGAAAAGCATGCTCTGGTCTCCTGCACCACTTCCACACATAAAGGAGCTGAGCCCACACACACATTCTTAGGATGCTCTCGACTAGTACCAAGTATGTATATCTGTCCACCCCCACCAAAGATCACAAGGGGCTTATTAGAAGAGGATTCACGTCCCACAACAGGTTATACAGTGAAGGTTCAAACCTTAAACTCTAGGAGACAAAGTATCCTCCCTCTGGAGAAGTGGGATTGTCAGGTTTTATCCCTGGGAAAGGGTGAGGCAATTAACACTTCTTGAGCAACTGCCCTCTGAATCAATGTCTCATTTAATCCTTTCAGCTATCCTAGCACTAAATATTATCATTCCTTTTTGTTTTTTACTTTTTTTTATTGTGGTAAAACACATGCAAAACAAAATTTACCATTTCAACTATTTTCAAACGTACAGTTTCGTGGCATTAAGTACATTCACATTGTTTTGCAGCCTTCACCACCATCCCTCTCCAGAACTTTTCCATCTTCCCAAACTGAAACTTTGTCTCCATTAAACACTAAGTCCCGGTCCTGAGAAGATGGTGGATGAGAAACACCGCCAGACAGAGTGTCTCTGCAGAAAAGACAGATTCTAGCAGAAATTAGAAGAAAGAAGCAAGAAGACGAGCCTACATCAGATGAGGGTAGGAAGGAGGAGTACCTGAGACCACGGGAGACTCCACAGGAGGAAGTCATGGAGGAAAACTGGAAGCTGAGACACCCAGAGCAATCCGGAGACCAGCGGGAAGTGTAGGTGGATTGGCTGTTTCCCCTCCCCTGCATCTGGTACTGCAGGTGGGCTCCCCAGCGGGTGGAGAGACCTGCGGCACCAGCCTAGAGACGGCCGCTGCCAGTGAGCGGGTAAGCCAGTAGCAGACGTGGCACCAGGCTCCCAACTCCCTCAGGGCACCTCCGTGTGCACAGACCCGAGCCGCGTGGCAGACGCCATATTGCCTCCTCTTTCCTCCCCCGATCCTACTCGCGGCTGCCTACAGAGACAATATAGCCACTAGCCGGAGGCACCTACAGGGAACGGGACCTTCCCGTTTGGGGCCCTACAGCTGACTAAGGGGAACTCAGACTGTGAGCTCCCTACCCGCCAGCCCTCCCAGGTGCTGCTGGCACTGTGATCCAGGAGAATGGGGCAGACTCTGAGGTTGAGAGACATAAACCCAGTGTGGGCTCACTGTGGGTGAATTGGAACTGGCACTGACCTCTATGGTGGGGATGTAGTTTGAACTCTGGGACCCAGAGGTCAGACCTGCAGACCAGATCCCGTGCACCCATGCCTCGCATTGCCTGGGGCACAGAAGGGATATTTGTGAACAGCCTACTGAGGTGTGTGTGCCTTCAGGGGAAGATCAGCATCCTAGAGGGCAACCCTCCCCCAAAAGGGAGGCCCTGCGCCCAGCCAAGGTGGCGTTCCTGCGCAGGGAACCTCCTCGCCGGCAGCACAGACAGGGGAGGCCTGGTGGCATGTGGTCTGGCCTGCTGGCAGAGGCCGACGAGTAGCCGCGGAGTTGGGGATGGTGGAAAGAAGCCAGGCCCGCTGCAGACTGTGGGTCTCAGACAGCCCCATCCCCACACACAGACTTTCTGGCTGAGCAGGGCCATTCAAGTCCCTCCCTGTCAGCTTTGCCTGGAAGCAGAGAACAGAACTTTGACCCCTGCTAATGACATTGGTGGTGTCTGAGGGCAGGCTTACCCAACCCAGCTCCGCCCAGACTCTCTCCTAGACCAGCCCTCACTGAGGGGGAGAAAAGGACACACCTGGAAGTCCCAGGGCTCCACCCACCACCTGAGGCACTAGAGTGTCTCTCTACAGGAACAAGAGATGATAACAGGACATAAAAACAACAGCGTAGCCTGTTCCTCAAAGCAAGCGCCACCTACGGACAGGGAGAGCATCCTGCACACCCTTTTCACGACACCTACTGATACAGGGAGTGGTCGAATCTGACCCACAGACACCACCTACTGGTTCAGAAACTAAACAGCCATGTGAATAACAAAACAAAAACCTAAAAAAAAAAACAAACAACTATTCGACATAGGAAGAAATCAGCGAAGGAACTCAGGAAATATGAAGAACCAAATGGAAAACACACCCCCAAAGAGCAGCCCCAGCACCCTAGAAACGGGCACCAACCAAAATCAGGCAACCAAAATGACAGAAGAGGAATTTCGTATGTGGATCATATGAACACTCATGAACCTGCAAGAACAACTCCATAACCAACACAAAGGAACCACCAAAAGCCTCCAGGATCTGGAAAAAGGTTCACTAAAGAAATAGACACAATGAAGAAAAGTATAACCAAACTCCAGGAAATTAAGAATCAATTCAGGGAACTACAAAATACAGTCGAGAGTCTCAAGAACAGGGTAGATCAAACAGAAGAAAGAATCTCAGAGATTGAAGATATAACACCCTCCAACTAAATAAAATACTCACAGAGATAGAGCAGAGAAACAAGAGAAAAGAGCAAAGCCTATAAGAGATGTGGGATTATGTGAAGAAAACTAATGTGAGGGTCATAGGGTTACCAGAAGGGGAAGAAGACAACAATCACAGGTTGGACAAGCTATTTGAAGATATAATAGAGGAAAATTTCCCAGGCCTTGCTCAAAATCTCAATATACAAGTTCGAGAAGCTCAGAGGACCCCTGGGAGATTCAATGCAAACAGGAAGACGTCACGACATGCAGTCATCAGACTGACCAAAATATCAAATAAAGAGGCCCTTCTAAGAGCTGTAAGACAAAAGAAGCAAGTAACATACAAGGGAAAGCCAATTCGAATAACACCAGACTTCTCTGATGAGACTTTACAAGCAAGGAGAGACTGGTGCCCCATTCTCACTCTTCTGAAATAAAACAGTGCCCAGCCTAGAATCTTATTCCCTGCAAAACTAAGCTTCGTAAATGAAGGAGAAATAAAGACATTCTCAGACAAGCAAAGTCTCAGAGAATTCACCAAGACAAGACCAGCCCTACAAGAAGTACTCAAAACAGTGTTACACATGGAACACCATAATAAAAACTCATGAATATAAAAACAACCAAAACCCAAAGATTAAAGGCCAGATATTACAATGGCTCAAGAGAGAAATCAAAGCAACAACATCCAACCCAACA